TTGTGTTGGCAGCCGCTTTGTACCGGCCTGCCCTAGGGAAGGGGCTGAGGTGTACGTTTAGGAGGGAATTTGGTGAATGTTAATAGTAGAAAGTTTCACGTGATTCAGGTGCTGTCCACTCGGCGCTGAAACCTCTGAAGAGATTTAATTAGAAACTGGATTAAGGATTAAGGCCTGAGACCGTCTGGTAAATCCCTGGAACAGCGCGGTGGGTGCTCAGGGCACGTTTCGAGGCTGTAAGTACACTGTAAAGTTACTGGGGGCTGAAAATGCAAGCATTTTAGGGTTCAAAAGTATATTTAAATTGTGTTGGGAGGATTAGTAACGTCCTGTAAAATTAAGAGCTCAAGTAGTACAACGTGTTGTAATAAAATATGTCATAATGACCAAATTAAAGTGACAGGCTGCATACATGCCTTGATTGCAGTGACATCAAAATGTTAAAATAGGCCGTTGAGAATAGAAAGTGAGCTTTTGTTTATTTTTTGAATAATAAAATTGGCATGCAGATGCTTTTTAAGCTTTTGTGAGTTGCCTATTTTTTGTAAACATCCAGGTAGCTTAGCTACCGACATATTGTGTGACGTAGCAGAGATCAAACGTAAGAGGAAAGATGGAGGACGTTACATTGAGATGTCTGTATAGCTGTGGAACTTGGGTGTTTTGATGAATAGTTAGCTGGTTAACCAGGTGTAGAGGTAATTGACACTCATAGTGATCATATAACCAAGCTTAGGCACAGGGAATTACTTAAAATTATGAAGATTATGACTGCTGCTATGATATATCACATGGATAATAACCAAGCTTGATTTTATTTGTGATTCATGGTCCCGACTCATGTAAAACCTCATATGTACTTAACATTACTCAAATGTTTAACTTAATTGGTTTTAGCAAGAAAGTTTTAAATTATAGTATCTGGAGGTAAAAGGCCACTGAACTAGCCAGTCTAGACACTAGCAAGAAGTAAGTGATAGTGCATATGTAATCTTGATTGGACTGTTGATATAAACTGGCACGGTGGTTGGATCAGCTGTGCACATCCCAGGCATCGGATTAGAGTGTTCCAGTCGCAACTGAACAGGAGCTCGTCTGGTGAGATTAGTCACCGAACATGTAGTGTGCCAGGGGCATCTGTGCTTGGTATGCAGTGAGCCCAGGCTTGCTCTGTATAAGCTGCAGTTTTCGATGTATGTGCCCAAGTAGTAGCTGTAGCCTCTCCAGACTTCTTAAGAAGACCCTGCTACTACTTGAATAATTGCTTCACTGTACATAGAATGCAGGTTGTTTCCTGTCTGTTACACTGTCTCCTGCAAATACGGGGAGTAGAATAATACAGTGTACACTTATTAAAAATGCTTTTTTTCCTGTTTTTTTATCATGTAGTCTTCATAATATCTGTCTGCTTAGATTGTTCTCATTCCTCTGTTGGCATTTTTTTTGCTAATGTGATTATTTTTCAGTCTCTGTTTTTACTTCCTGTGTTTTAATACTGCACTCTCTAATTTATAATAGTTTTCAATGCCGGAAGAACAAAGTCAAACTATAATGGCAGTTGATGAACTTCAGGCTGTAATACAAAGATGCGTAAGTAGTTCTCTATCCATGAAAGTACCAAGTGGAAGAACTGTGCATTTCTTGTCGTATATTATAATTAAAACCAAAATTACCCCAAAACACAAGATAGTTGTTAGCAGAACTCCTCATTGGGCAGCTAAGTTCAGCCTCTGTGTTTTACTGACTTTTCTGTGGTGCTCATCCTAAGATGCTTGATAACTTCTGCTTCTGTGAGAAAGAAGTGTTCTTGCATTCAGCGGTACCTGTCTGAAGTAACAAAACCCTAGCAGGTTGTTGTAGGAAATAAATCTTCCAAATACCATGCTGTAGTCTAGACTGAGAAAGTGCTATTGAAATACTGCTTTGTCTTCTGTAGTAGCTCTTGGTAGCTTTTTTAATACGAGAAAGATGTTACACAAGAAAAAAGAAGTTGCAGTGACACTGCATTTAATTTTCAAATTCAAGTTTGGATTTTCTTATTTTTTTATTTGCCTTTTATAAGTATGGAGTTAAACATGTGTATTTTCTTTCTAGCAAATTCTGGAAGAAGCTGATTTCAAAGGAGAAGATTTTAATCTGTTTCAGGTAGCAGGTCAGAAATGTTTAGAAGATGGGTACGCTGCTCAGTTATTAGAAGTAATTCAAAATGAGAAAAATAAGGTAAGTTTAAGTTTGCACTGTATATTAGTTGTGCCCTAACACACCATTAAATAGATAAAACCACTTATTGAAGAGGGGAAGGTACCTTCACTATGGAGCAAGGCCATGCATAGGAATAGTTAGTAAGTTGCTATGTGTTAAGCGCACATTCCTGTGTAACTTCAGGTAGCTCACAGAAACCAAGTGATGATAAACTTAACAAAACCATTAATAACTGTTTTTCAGTGAGTTAAGCAAAGAAGAGAAAAGAGAGGACAAAAGCATAATTAAGAGAAAGTGACAGTGTCCCTCTTTTGCAGGACAGGATTTCAGATGGTGTACTGGGTCTGGCTGGCATGGAGTTGATTTTCTTCATGGTAGCCTGTTTGGTGCTGTGTTTTAGGTTTGTAACCAAAACGGTATTGATAACAGACCAGTGTTTCAGCTATTGCTGACCAGTGCTTGTACAGTGTCAAGGCCTTCTCCGTTTCTCACTCTGCCCCCTCAGTAAGCAGGGAGGTTGGGAGGGGACACAGCTGGGACAGCTGACCTGAACTGATGAAAGATACTCTATACCATGTAACATCATGCTCAGCATTAAAAACTTGTGAGGATACGGACCCATTCCAAAGTAGATGTTGCTTGGAGACTGGGTGGGCATTGGTCTGCTGCTGGGAGTTGGTTTGCATCATTCTCCCCTCCCCTTTTGTCCTTCACTTATTAAATTGTCCTTTTCTCAACCCATTCTCTGTTTTGCTCTTCTGATTCTCTCCCCCACTCCACTGGGCAAGGAGAGCAAGCAACCAGCTGGTGGCTGCTTAGTTGCTGTCTGGGGCTGACCCACCACAGATGGATATAATAATACTGGCCAAAACTGTAAGAGCCAACTCAGCTGATGCTAATGTAAGAGATGCTAATGTCTGTAGGCACTGTACAAAATATGCAGCTGTATTTATAGGCATGGGGAGAGAATACAATGTATGTCAAGTACAGAACTTTATGGTAATAGATGTTAAATTTTCAATGATACTATTATGGTGTTGATTACAACGAGGACATTGACCTGTTGTCTTTTTTGGCTTTTGTATGTGCAGTCTTTCTGGGTTTAGAATATGTCCAGTTTGGGTTTATTCTCTGAAAATTTGTGTTTTAGGTTATCATCAAGAATATGGGATGGAATCTCATCTCTCCTCTTGTTAGATGTATTTTCATGTATAAACAAGAAGATGATAAGCGAGAACACTGCCTGAAGATATTAGATCAGTTGGCACAGGTATATTTTTTAAATATATGGTTATAATACAATAATTGTCCTAATTTTCCCTCTGATTTTCAAAGAAAACAAGGCATGAATACCTCTTTGTTCTTCTGTCCATTTCCCATAAATTTTAAACTCATGGGCCAGTTTCATCTGAAGTAGGCACAGGCTTAGTGGTAACTAACCTCTTATAACTCTTGTGAAATTAGTAACTGGGCAAAACAGAGACACATGGCGTTACCCAGAAGAAAAAGGCAGATGGAACTCAAAGTTTTTGATAGCCAGCTGCTGCAGTCAGAGCAGCCACAGCAGTACTGCCTCTTGTCTACTGCAGATAGAGTATGACAGCGAGTACCTGATGATTCTGATGGAGGAGTAGGGGAAAAACATTTTAATCTCTAGAAAACTAATTCTCTTTCATTCATGTACTTAAAAAAAACAACTTGCAAACTCTATAGCTTGGTTAAATTAATACGGAAGTTTTTCTTTTCTCTCTACTCCTAAGGATTACTTTGCTAAGGTACAGTGAGGTTTTTATAGACCATAGAAATCAAGTTTTGTGTCATTATTTATTATTATATGTTTCCAGCTTACATGAAAGCGTACATACATATACACTCTACAGAAGATAATTGTAGGGAAGTACTTGCTGTTTCATACTTGTTTTCTTAAAGATTATCTTGGATATTCAGATCTGTTTTCTTGATATTCAGGAACTTCTGTATTGAAGTTTGCTTGTAATGAATTTTTTAGCTTATGACCATGGTGATTAAAAAATACACGTTGTTCGTCTCCTGCAGCTGTGCAATCCAAAGGAACTTTTTTTGGGTTTACTTGAGCAGATTGAACAGACCTCTGGAGGGCAAGTGTGCCAAACTATCATGTTACTGCTTCAGCCTTTGCAGACAGGTAAGATGCACTTCTTCATGTCATTTCTGAATTCAATTATTTTCTCATTTATTTATCAAATTAGTTTAGCCTTTGCTGGAATGGTTTCAGAACTCATCTGTCCTGAGAGGCTTTACAGTCTATTATATTCTGCAAAATAACACAAGGTATAATTTTCGTGCTTACATTGACCTGTTAGAAAAAAGTTTTAGATGGGATTAATAGCATCAGTTGAAAAAGAAATGTTCAGCTGTTTTTCATCATTTACAAGAATGTGGTCCTGTGATGGTTGTATTTAGAGGTGTAAACCATGCATACTGTTGTTATAGAAATGGAGAATTATATGGATCTGTGAAATTCTTCATTATTTAACTTTTAAAACGTACAATTCCATATCTTCATACTATAAAACTTTTATTTCGGTTTGAAGCAGGTTGAAATATTTGATTGGCGGGAAGCATTCTTATGGCTTATATACAAAAATGTTGTGTTTGGACACGTACTAAGTAGGTAACAAGTAGTAGTTTCTGTTTTGATATGAGAGATGAAATCAAGTATCTTGCATCAAGTTTAAGTCTTGATAGTGGCAGTCGCTGAGATGTGTTATTGAATTATGTTCTAATTTTAACAGGAGAAGCATTTTGGTAATTAGAAGTATGTGGTTTTTTGGATAGCCTGCAGTCAGCCTGCACTGAGTGCAATTAAAGTGGAGAGCCACTTGTGCTGCTTGTTCAAGTCTGGGAGCCCCTCTGTTGGTTCTGCTGTGGAGGATAGAACAGTTCTGAGCTGCTTCAGGTAGAGTCAGATCTCAGCAGAAAGGTTGGGCCATTGCCTCTGGTTTTGCTAAGGACTACAGGAGTAGTCAAGCAATAAATCAAGAATAAATCAGTTTTCCAGATCAGATAAATGAATATTATTTTGCTTAGTCTTGTTCTAGAAAGACAGATTTTTTTTTTCCATCTTCATCACGGTGCTATAGAGAAAGGAAGAATGTGTTGAAACATGACTGCTTTAATATTTGTCAGTCTCAAATACATGGTCATCTTAACTACAGCGTATTAAAGTAGCTGATGATGTTTAGTCTTGCTGGATTTCCTCATGCGATTTCAGGTATCAGTCCCTCTACGTCCCTGAAACTAAAGGCTTTCTTATGTAGTCACGTTGTTTTTCTTCATGTTTTCTTCTACCAAGTAAGTAATAACTTAATGTCTCAAAATGTTCTCTCTTTCCTCTCTTTCTCTTTTTTTCCTTTCCCCCAGTGCTTTTGAAACTTCAGAACAAGAAGGCCTACTCAGTAGGTTTATCTTTGGCCATGATTATGAATCAGCTTACTCCCTTACCTGTACCTTATACAAAACAACAAATACAAGAAGACAAACTTGGTCTCTGTCAATGTTGTAATGCAGTGGTGGACTTTGCTAAACCTTTTGTGAATGAAGTTGTTAAAAACATGGAAAAGTCATCAGAATACAATGACATGGAGCTGAAAGAAGAATTATTAAAATTGTGAGCATTTTATGTTAGTGTAATATATTCCTCTAACTTAACAAAATGAACACTAGGTGTTTATTACATAGGCTGTAAATATCATCTTATTAGTGTTTTATAATGCTGCCAACTTACATTAATTAATGTGGTATTTTGAAAAAGAAAAACCCTAAATATGCCTTAAATATTTATGAAGTGAGAGAAAAAAGGTAAAAATAATTTTTTTTTTTTTTTTTTTTTAGTACAGGGAAATGGTAAAGAAATACTAGTCTCTGTGCTGTGAAGCTGTTTTGGTATTCTGCCTCTCACATTTACAACAGTGAGGATAGTCCTATTCTGGGGGTGAAATCAAAAGAATGCTTTTACAGATGTTCTTTTTTTTATTGTCCTTGGAATAGCAGCAGCTAGTACGAGTATAGACTATTCTTGGTAATCGATGACACTATTATAGTCTGTACTTGTGACCTTATTGGTGATTTAATTTCACCCCTTTTTATTTCAGCTGTATGAAAAGCCTGAAATATCCATTATTGACAGCTCAGCTTGAGGAACTTGAAGGCATTGAAGAACATCCCTTTCGACATTTTGCAACTGAAATTATAGTAGGTGCAGTCAAAATTAGTTGTAATGTTTTCAAAACCAGTGGTCTAGTTCAGAATTGCCTATACTCTGTTCTAGAGCTCATTTTGGTTCCTTTATTGGTTAGTGGGATGATTTACTGGGCCTTGTGAGGTAATGCATGTAGATAAAGGTCTAGAATGGTTCCATGTCCCATCTCTGGAAATTACAAATCTTGCAGACACAGTTTTGGTCCTTATAAACCAGTTTGGGCTGCTCTCTGAAACAGCAGCTGCTACTTTGCTCTAACTGCTTCTTTTTCTTGGTGATGGAGTGTTTCCTCTCTTGCATGTATCCAAATATAGTGGCTTGGCCCCAGCTGGCAGCGAAGCCGCCATTCAGTCACTTGCTTAGCCCCCCCCCAGCAGAATGGGGGAGAGAATCTGAAGGGCAAAAGCAAGAAAAACTCATGGGTTGAGAAAAAGACAATTTAGCAAGAGAAGGAAAAAACCCTAAGTGATTCAGTGGCAGTCACTCACCACCTCCCACCAGCAGACCAGTGCCCAGCCAGTCTCTGAACAACAGTTAATCTGAAAAATACTACCTCCCCACCCTGCAACTTGTTGCTGAGTGTGATGTTATATGCTATGGAATGTCTTAATTGGCCTGTTTGGGTCAGCTGTCCCGGCTGTGCCCCCTCCCAGCTTCTCACCCACCCTCTGCCCACTCACTGAGGAGCAGAGTAAGAAACGGAAGGCCTTGATGCTGTGCAAGCACTCTTCAGCCATAGCCGAAACACTGTTGTGTTATCAACGCCATTTTGCTCACAAACCTAAAACATGGCACCATACGGGCTGCCATGAAGAAAATCAACTCCGTATCAGCCAGGCCCAGTACACCAAATTTAAAATGTTTGTAAGTATCAGTTGTCTCTAATTTTCAAATGCAGGGTTGTACAATGATTTGTGTTGGGCTGATGAAATGAAGGTTATTCAGGAGCAGGCTGGTAAATCTTACAATGAAATACAAAGGTGGAAAATACTCCCAGTACTAAGTGGAGTCTTCCCTCAGGATAGCCAATGGGCCACTAGTTGGGTAACACTGAATACAGTAATTGCCCATTTGCATCAAGACTGCAGCTAATGTCTTCAACTCTTATAAAACAAGCTGATCTTTTTAGACGTGTAGGAGAACTGAGCATTAAATGACTATTAACTGGTTATTAATATTTACTATTAACAAAAATACAGTTCTGGGTTTGATAACTGGCCATTAAAATTCTTTTCCCTTACGTTGTTTTATTAACTGTGGATACGCTTTTTTCTCATGTTAATGTCAACCGTATTAAAAAATAGAATTAAGTTTGAGCTTTGGACTTTGTTCTACCTTGTTATCCCTGGTTAGAGGAGGGGAAATTCACAAGTTGAATTCAGAAAGACAAAAGTCAAAGAATGCCTGGAGCTATGTAAGAGGGAAATGTAAGTTAGAGAGAAGATAGAGTGAGGGTGTGAAGCTGGCTGAGGGACAGAGGAAATCCATCTGCTGGAGGAAGATGGCTGAAATGGCTGTGAACTATGAACTAGGGAGTTAGAAAAAAGCTTCTTATATGATACAGTGGAGGAACTCATCCTAGAGCAGAGAGACTGGGTTAGGGTGTCACATTGGGGGAGGGAATGGCACACTAAGTCTGCATGAGTTTCAAAAGGAAGACTTGGAGCCAGCTGGGATGAGGAAAGCACACATAAACACATATATATATAATATGTGCAAATGTGCATGCATGCAGAGGAAGTCTGGAAGTTGCCATGTGATGCAACTCTGTTTCTCCAATTTGTGCTTAAAAATCTAAGCATTTTGGCACACAAAATTAAAAAAAGAAATCCAAATGTTAAGATCGTGAAGTGAAGCATGCTAAGCAGTTAGCAAAACTTTTGCTTGTTTTTCAACCATAATTAGATTTTCTGTCGTGATCACATCCACCTTTTTTCCACAGCATGTCTCAGCATAGGATGTAACTACTGTGTGGATTGGTGAGGGCTGTGCAATGAAAGAGAATCTTGTTTCCGAGACCTTTACTTCATTTATTGCAGGACTTTTAGGGTATGCAGTGGAGGAGGCAGGGATTACCAGAAGATGACCTCATGGTTAAGGCAGTTGAAAGGTGCTCTGAAAAACTGGCTTTTTAATCCTGCCTCTCCTGTTGGGCACAGTCTGAAACCATGGTTTTTATGCTAATTATGAATTACCTTTTCTTCGTTTTCTCAAGAAATTTGCTTCTGCTGTTTGTGGAATTGGGTAATGAGAGCTGCAGCTAAGGTCAGTAAAGTCATGCTTTGACTAGATGACATCTTGTGTAATCCTCATTTTCCAAAATGTGAGGTGCCAGATGTTCAGTTTGGACAACCCCAGAATAGTGAGTTAACCTTGGTCTCGCTGTTTCTTCATAATACGTACAATAGGAGTTACTCTACCTCTTAATCCACATGAACGGGAGCGGGGGAAACATGCTAGTATTTGTGAAGTACTCTGGCACCATCGTGTTGTGCATCACTGGAAAGAAAGGCCATACAGAGTGATTCTAACTTTAAAACAGGGCTGACCTTTAGCAGATAAACATTGTGTTGCATATTTATTAGTGAGCAGAAAACAAAATACTGAGTATTCTGTCATCTGAAAACCACAGGGGTCCTGTGGCATAATGTGATCATGAAGCTATCTTTATTCATTGTGTTGTGGATAAGGGAACCAAAAAAGAGTTTTGCAGGGTGGCTTTATTTTGTATTTTGCTAACTTTTGAGTGCTTGACTTTGCTATCTTAGCAACATTCTTCTACCAGTAGTTATTTTCTCTGCAGGGTCTTTTCTCTGTATGTGTATATATCGTAAACACTTAGAAAATAGTTGTATTAATTTATACGTATGTGATGTAAGAGAATTTACTGTAAATACAGTTAAAACTTTGAAACTTAATTGGTATACAGGTGTTTTAAAGGCAACCATAGCCAATCTGTCTTTCTTTTTTAGGACATTTTGTGGGATATAAGAGAACTGATACCATTAGTGTTCTTACATCGTAAAGGCAAAAGTCCACGCTGGGAGAATCAGGAGTTCGCGGACATAGAGCGAAAGAATTCTGCAGAGTCTTTGGCATGTCTGTCATATCTGATGTTTGTCCAGCATTTTGGTATTCATTGCTTTCCAACGGTGTTTAGGTAAGAACTATTCTTCCTCACTTTTCTTAAGTCTGGACTTTGAAGATTCTTTCTGAGCAGAGGAAAACTTTTTATTTGTGAATAGCTATGAATGAAAACTGTGTATTTCACTAGTATTTGTTTTATGTCAACCTTTATGCATTTATATTTTATGTAGCTTATATTATATACATAAGAACATACTCCAGTCCTGCATATTACTGTGTTACGGTTTGATTTTAGAAGAGCTGTCCTTTTAAAGACACTGGTAGGATTAGCCACATGCTGAAAATTAATATGTATTACATTTTCAATTGTATATTTACGGACAGTTTCCACACAAGAGTTATTAACAGCAATTTGACTTACTGTTTTGTGTCTATTTCAAAATTACCTATTTTAAAGATATTCTTATACATTTTTCAAAAAAGACTAATCCTGTCAAATATACTAACTATGTGCAAATGTATATGGCTTACGCAGTTTAATGTAAACCTAATTTTTCTCTTTTAGTCCGTCATACCTTCTGCAATGCAATATGATGCATATTGAAGTGCTACTGAAAAGGTAGGGTTTATGGTATTTGAAGTTCTAGATAGTGGGTGTGATCTTTTATAGTAATTCATAGAATCAAATTTTGAATATACCAAGATAAGTTCAGAGGAGGTTTTTAAACCTGAGAGTTAAAATGTCAAGATCCACAACAAGATGGCTTCTTTTAGTAAGAAGTATAAAAAGTTGTCTAAAACATTTATTTATTGTTTTCATCTTGTATTGTGTTATCACTTTTAGAAACTTTATTACGAAAATGCAAAATTAAGGTCTTTTAAACACATGCAGAATAATTAGAGTGTGTATTTACTTGTACTTCTGTAACAGTTTACTACGAAGAAGACTGTCGTGATACTGTATTAATTTGAATGTATTCTGATATGATATGCAATCTCATTAAGGGTCAGGCTTTCTAAAGGAAACCAGACTTCTCTAGATATTGTGATTATTTCACCTTCTATAAGCAGCAGTGCTGACCAATAGTTTCTAGCACTGTTATAGAAGGGAAGTTTACCATTATGACTGCCTACCATTTCCTGGTAAAACTTAACCAAAACTTCTTGGTCTCTTCAGTTTAGGATCTGCTGGTTTTTTTCTTAGGCTTGCAGAACTATGCAAGTGGCATAATATGGGAAAAGTTTCATTTTTCTTTGTTAATCAGTGTCCTGATACCTGTGAGATATGAGGTGCTAGTTTTAAGCGTTTTTAAATATTGAGGGGGAAAAAAATGTCATTTTTGACCCTGAAGAGAGGAGCCTTATTTTCAACATTTCATCAGACAGTTTATTCTAAAAATCTTTGGGAGGAATACTGTAGATACCGTATTTAGAAAATAGAATGGAAGTCGTTGAGGGACCGGTTCTTTATCATCTCTGTACTAATATTTCTTCTGAAATATCAACAGTATCTTTTTAATTAAGAACTTAAATTTGATAATGTTTCTTTTTTTTTTTTCTAGAACAGAAGAATCTATGTTATCTAAAGGACTTGTAAGTTTTCTTTTAACCCAATTTCCAATGTTAGAATGTTTCTTTTTTCCAGTTTAAATAATGGTAACACTTTAGTTTCCCTTTCTAAGAAAGGTACAAATGATAGTTCAGATAATAGTTTCAGAAATATTTTGAGGCTTAATTAGGTATTCTTCAGTCTTACAAAAATACATGTATTTATTGAACTTTACACTCATGCATAAGTGTTTAAATTACCATTATCACTTATACTTGTAGCTCCTAGGAACTCTGGATATGCGAATGAGCATTTATAGTGAAGGTGGTTTTAGCCATGAAATGTTAAGCATATAGATTAATGTCTTGTATATGTGCAAAATGTTGGCAGCTTTTTTTTTTTTCCCCCCCGCTTGCAGGATCTGTTTGAGAGCTGTTTATTGAGAATGGAAGATAATAGCCTTCTCCATCAGTATTTAGAATTCAGAGATTTTATTAACATACCTCAGGTAATAAGAAGCGATGTACAGAAGTCTTTAAAGTTTGATTATAAATAATATCTAGCTGTCTTGTAGGTGTTTGAGAGAGGAAATACTACTGAACTTTTGTACACTTGTGTCATTAAATTGAAACCTTCGGTGACTTGTTAGACAGAATTGATTGTCTTTTCTACCCATAACAGCATGAAGTTTCAGTGACAAAACATACTTAGTGTATGTACAGGCCGCTGAGGCAGGTGAGCACTAATCTTAGCTGAAAGATGACGCTCGCTCATTTTTGCCTCTTCCTTGCAAATCTGCTGCTTGACTACATTCTTATTTGGACCCAGCAGTAGGAGAATAGTAGTCTTGTGTGTCAGCCCTCGGATTTCAGCCACTGAAGCTAATGTGAATTCCTCTGATGAGAATCTTCTCAAAGACATGTTTTTGTGGGCTGTGGGTTTTTGGTTTTGTTTGTTGGGTTTTTTAAATGTCTTGAGTAGATTTTAGTCAGTGTGATGCAATGTAATAATCTGTATGTAATTAGAAATTATGTTTTCTTTGTCCAACTGCAGGATTTGGTGAAAGTTATGACCCTTTGTCCCATAGAGCATCTGGTATGTAATAGGACCTACAGAATCAGTTAAGAGCTGAATGTATTTAATTAGAATTAATCTGATAACATCTTTTTTTTTTTTTCCCCTTTAGAGAAAGAAGAGTTTAAATATTTTGCAGTTGTTCATAGACAAGTTTGACGCAGAGGGAAAACATACATTATTCAGGTATGCATTCCAATTTCTGTAGATTGTGTAATATCAGCCTTATTGCAGCTTAATTTCATAGATACAATGATTTCTGACAGAGTTTCTATCTGGTAAACCACATTAATTTCGCTGTGTTAATTTTTGGATAACTAGTGAATTCCAATTGCCTCACATAAAATCATCTGTTTTATGTAAGCTAGTGTTTAAAGATTACCTAGTTGTCTTATTTTCCTGTGGTAAAACTCCCACTTAGTGAATAAGGCTGTAATGTCATCTAAGTTTTGAGCTAACTGTATAAGCAGCTTTGAAGAGATAATATCTTTCTTTTTTGTTTGTTTGAAGGTGTTTACTGAAGACAAGCAACCATGCTGGTGTGGAAGGATACATTATTAAAAATATAAAAGATCAGATTCACTTATCGTTAACGGTGAGGCTATTACTACTAAAAACCAAATTGCCATCTCAAAATTCTATCAGTTGAGAAAACGTGTACAGCTTAAGCTTTGAGTGATACGTTAAAAAAATCCACTTTGAAAAGAAACATAAAATTGGGAAGCTATATAATTAAAAATACTAATTTGTTTTTGTCTGCATGTGTATTTTTAAATTATAATTCTACAAATGTATTTTTTAATTGCACAATCTTGTATTTTTCTAAGAAGTTATTATTACCTCTTCTGTGCTTGAAAACACATTCTTCTTTCTTAGAGAGGAACTACTCAGTATTTTCCTTTATCCTCACAGTTCCTCATTTCTTGTATATAATTCAAATGCTACAGTCCAGACAGAATCATTAATATTTTCTTAGTTTTTATGACAGTCAGAATTCTATTACAAGTGCCTCACAAATGCTAAATTAATCAGAAAGGGTTGAGCTAGATCAAAGCCATTTAAATCTCATATTTTATAACCATTGATACCAGGAAGTTGAAAAAATTAATTAAAAATAAATTATTAATTCTTTTTTTTCCTTCTTCTTTTTAACTGCTTAGGGTCTTTTCTGAACCAAATTTGATTCTCAAGGATACTGCCTTTTGTCAAATAGGACAATATAGTAAATTTATGCATAATTATTTTAGAAAACAGTGAATTACAATTTATTAGATTATAGTCTGTCTTGTGTATTGAATCAGCAGGTGTGAAGAAGATGACAATACGAATGCTGTTCCAAAAGGGGCTTGCACTAAAATTGAATAAGTAGAAGTATATTCTGAAACTTCCTTACTAATTAATTTTTTGGCTATGCAGGTTCAAAATTCTCTTAATGTATTTCTTCCATGTTGAGTTCACTGGCTGTCAAAAAGACAAGTAATTTTAAAATTTCATCATACAAATTTGAATAGTCTAGGTTTGTTGCGAAAAATTCTGCTATAGACATAATTATAACAATTTCCTATCGCTATCCATTTATTTCATCTTAGTTGTTGTGCCCAGTTAGTCTTAATCTTTCTGGGACCCTCATGTGATCTGACTTAACAGACAGCTACCCTTCTTGTCCACTTACCTAACCTCAGTTTTTCTTCCAATCCATTTCTGGCTTTGTCCTGGTTTCCTCTCTCGTCTAGCTTTTGCCCTGTGTATGATACCTCTTCCCCCAACCTTCCCCACCTTTACCTGAGATAAGGATTTTGCCAACATGGGATCTTGGCAACAATTCTGTGCTGTCAGCTTCGTGTACTGACATGAAACAGCCTTTTGAAGAGGGTGAGAAACTTCGAGAGCAGTACGCTCGCTTGCTCTTTGGGAATGATGAGCACAAGCTTAAGTTAGCACCAGTGCAGCGAGGCTTAACCACCCTCACTGAGGAGGGAATTTTCAGGGGTCTTAGCTGCAAGGCTTTAAAAAAACTTCTGCTAAGCAAGTGAGAGAGGTGGGGGTTTTGTTGGTTTGCCCCTCCTCACTTCATAATTTGTTGTAATTTAGGGGAATTTTTGTGAAAATAGCGAGTGGTCTGTCTGTCATGCAGAGAGCATGGGAATAATTATGTTCTGCCACTTCAAAACCTAGTACTCTCCATCTTGTGCTTAAATGATTCTCCCCTCTGTCCTCTCTGCCCTCTCTCTTTCAAAAGTAACGTAACTGAATGCCCTTCCTCCATCAAAGAACCATAGAGGCGAAGGTGTGCTTTACTTGCAAGCATTGCTAGGAGTTGTGGTTTAGAAATATGCAAAGAAAACTTAAAACATCTTCTTTAAAAAAAACCAAACAAACATTGTCTTTAAAAAAAATTGTGATGCTACTATTATGAAATGAATAGGGTCTCTGGTAAAGAGAGCAAATTGTTCCATATCTCAGTATAAAAAAAAAAAAAGACATCCTAGTAGAACTTGTTAAGTAATGTAAACAAATATTAACTGTATGGCTAGTGGTATGGTGAAGAGGTGGAGAATCTATTCTGATGAAACTAAAAAGAATAGCTTGCCGTGAAGAGACAAAGTCATGAGGATTATGAAATGACTCGTTTGTGTGCTTCAATCACATGTAGTGGTTAGAAAATATTGCTTCCAGCGTTTGATTATTTTTTTTTCTGTTTTCCCAAAATTGTTGTTAAATTATTTAAGATTTATTTAAGATATTTTTAAGATTTAAATTTTGCAGTCAGCTAAACTTTTTTGTATCATTTTTTCAGAAGGCATGTGACAACATTTGGTTTACGGGACATCACCTGATCTCCCTTCTAGATTTAGTGCTTTTGCTTCCAGAAGGTGCTGAGACCGATCTTCTGCAAAACTCAGATAGGTGAGTTGTAATCACAGTTAGAGGCTTTTCTCCTTCTTAATCATTTAAAAAGACTTCAAACTACCTTACTACAGTGGGAGGTACACTGTCATGTAATTATTGAGCTGACAGCATCAATGTATTTTAAACTAGAAATGGAAATGATCACTTACTTCAACCATCCTTTCAACTAACTGTATAGAAGAACGTCACAATGCTATTACATTGATTTTAACAATAAGAAAGGAATTCTTCCTCCATTCCTTGAGGACATAAAGCCTCAGATGTCAAATTACAGACCTAATTGGTAAAGCGTTATTTCTTCAGACTGAATGGTTTGTCAGCTTTCTGGAGAAGCAATTGGAGGAACACAAGAAATGTGGTATGTTGTCTTCTGTGACAACAGGGGAATAACAATTATCAGATACAACTTACAGCACGCAGCCTTTTTGAGGCTGTTTCACAGATTGCTGCTGGGAATCCAGTATCTCATGAGGGGGAATACAGGGCCACCTGAACAGCAAATACTTTCATTAAGTAATATAAAAATAACTGGAAATGTCTCTGAAAATCCCCAG